GTTGTTCAGGGCTTCTTCTAATGATGCTCCGTTTTCTACCAGTGGCGTCACTAGTGGCGGTGTCACCCTGTCGATCCCAGGTAGCTTTGTGCTGGTCGAGATTCGGGCTTTGATTCTCTGCCTCGACGTCTTTTCATTATCCACCTCTGGATCCGCCGATGCGTTGCCTAGCCCTATGTTTCTATTTTTCCCAGTTCGCGTCTCCCAATTTGTCATAATCACAAAGTCTCTTGACTGGCCTGATGTGTTTGTGTCTTTGCTTATCGTTCTCACCATACCAAATTTGTCCATGGTTCCAGTCTCTCTGACGGTGTATGCCTCATTCTCCTGGTTCGATTTATTGAGGCTGACTCGAGATCCAAAATCAACCTGCTCATCATCGTCCTCTTCTTCCTCCTGGGATTCACCTTCAATTCCTGTACCCACTCCCATGGTGAATGGAAAGATGTTTCAGAAAAAGTTCTTCACTCTTTCTGAAAACGATGAGGACGTTGCCTGTTTCTCCGTCACGCCTGCCATCATGGTGTTGTCTGTGGGAGATCTTCTAGCTGCTACAATTTCAGTAGAGATGTCGGACAGTTCCGACATCTCCTCTCGGTCCAGTGACCCGGTGGAAGTGGCAAAATCTTGGCCTTGTTCTACTGGAGTAGATTCACTCGCCAGCCTTCTGTCTCTCCCCTCCGGTCCATGTATTTCCTGGTTCTCATTCATGGTCTGGTCCGGATGGACCTCCACTTCTAGCATAGCTTTTTGCTCTTCTGAGGACTTTTGACTTCGGGTTTCAACCATTCTGCCTGAAACCGTCTCCCCTTTGTCGGTCCGGGTTCGTGTGATCCTTTCCACAAAAGGGTCGTTCAATGCTCTTCTCTGTTTCTCAGGTATGAATTTTCTGGAGCTATCACCTAGTTTAGGTATCCCTGACTTGTCTAGACTCATATTCAGTTTACCACTTCTTACTACCTATACACTCAACTCGATTGCTAGTGTCCTTTTGATCTGATTACTGATAATAATAACACAACACAATGAATTCCAAAAGTTTCTATTAAATAGTGATCATGAATCCTTGTATGTTATCACGGTACAGTGTATATATATAACTTATTCACAATAATCGATTATTAGTCGTAAGATTTGAGAACTAGCACAGTATGATGATATCAGTCAATTTAAAAGATAGTGTATTCACTACCCAATCAAGCATAAATTGTTGATTTAAAACCAGATATATCAAAATAAGAAGATTTCTATAAAAATACGTATGTGTTTTGTACTTTTAGTCGGTTGCAGTACAATAGTCGAACTTGTTTTGAAAAAAAAAGCTTTCCCTGCCTGGTGCTGCACCAAACACACAAAATTTGAAGGCAGTAATTTTCTCGAGTGGGCGTCTATTGCACCCACCGAGTCCTGTGTTACCTACCTGCCTTCGGACTGCCCAAGCTACACCTACTAAAATTCTCAGGGCAGTCATTTTTCTCAAAAACGTTTTGGTATTTAATCCACACCAATGAGTTACACACTCCTTTTTTTTAGTTTAGACTTAGTGTCGCGACTATCCGAGTTTGGACCTGTTTTGTTTTGGTCTGGTCTTTTTTGAAAGGCAAGTTACCAGTGTAGTCACTGGTTCCTAGCCTGTCTCTTAATAACCTAACGCCCCTCACTATTATCTTTTCTTCTGTTTACCTAAGTCCTTCAACAAAATAGTACCTCTCCGGGTTGACAAAAAACAGTACCCCTCCGGATTGGCAAAAATAGGACCCCTCCGGATTGGCAAAATTGATAACCCTCTGGATTGGGACCCCTCCGGTTTTGTGAAAACAAGACCCCTCCAGATTGGGACCCCTCCGAAATAGGAAAAATTTGGACCCCTCCTGATTGGGACCCCTCCGGTTTTGCAAGAATAGCTTTTCGGAGACTTCCTTGATTTTCAACCTATATCCCTCCGGATACGATATCCGATGCTATTATGCTGCTTTTATCAACTAGAAAGGGTATGTGGTCCTTCCCTTGACCCTTGCGGATTGAAGTTAAGCCTCTTATTTGACAATTCACGCTAACGCTGAAGGGTCTTATCGCTAGCCTAATTCCGGCTCTATCAAGGTTTTAAGGTCTTCTGGTGCCTTTAGCCTTCCCTATTCTTCTAGAACAGCGTAAAATTGCCTTATTCAACCGTTTCTACCCTTCGGTAGGGGTGTAAGGGCTTTCCAAAAAAAAAATGATAAAAAGAGAGGGGTCTACCCTCCCGAATTGGTGAATTTGCTAAAAAACAATCTCAAAAACTTTTCACGCTTACTTTTTCGAATAATTTTTGTTCCTATAAGTAAACTCTGCTAATTTCGGATCTAATGGTACCAAGATCAACTGGATCTGTCCAGTAGTTTCAAAGTTATTAACCAAAACGTCTTTTATCTAAATTCAAAATTTTTCTCACCTATAGAATCCGCCTAATTTTTTCCGCAATTCGGTTCTTCTCGAAGAAGAAAAAATTGATCTGAGCTCAAAAGGCCTATACTTTTCTATTTCAATGCAAAAAAAACCCAATCTGAAACGCTTTAGTTGAAAAGTTTGCGGAAAAACTATGCTATTTGGACCCCTCCGGATTGATGAATCTACTGAATCAAACACGTTAAGATCGATTTCTCTGTAACCCGGAAGGCTGTCGGGAAACGGATCTTACAACCTGTATATTTACTAGTGGACGTTGTCCGAACAATTCTTTTTACTGTCCTAACTCAAAAATTTCAAAAAATTTTCTGATTTAATTGTGTTCCGTTTTCTCCAAAATCGCGAAAATTCGGTTTTTGGTACCAAAATAGTTCCAACCACTTCTGAACTAAACTCAACCGGTTCTACCTATTATAATAGCACAGCTATGATGTAACTCACTAATTTAGCGTTTTTTCCGTTTCGAAAAATATCGATATTTCAAACCGGTACGCTTACTGTGTTTTTCACTGAAACACGATATAGGAGTATTAATATAGGCTATATAAGTAATAATATCAGTAATACTATACCCCTCCGGGTCTGTTCAATTTCCGAATAAAGGTGCTTAACTCGGATTTTGCAGTTCGGTGAAGGGTCACTACAGTGCAGCACTGTCGAGCTTTCCACAGATTACTATCTTATTTTGTTGTACCAAAAGGGATACAAAACTTGTTAACGATACCCAACAGTCGACTGTCGTTGTCGTTGAGCCCCTTCTTGTTGCTCCTTGTACTGCTTGCCGGATCAGTCTTCTCCCTAGACCCCTCCGGATTGAGCGCAAATCAGCAGACCCTTCCGGATTGAGCGCAAATTAGCATTAACGTGCTTAAAAACTCAAACAACCCTACAGTACAAGCCTCACAAACGGGCTACAAAAATAGTCCCAACCACTTCTGAAGTAAACTCAACTGATTCTACCTATTATAATAGCACAAATTATATTCCCCCAATCATTCTACTGATTTTTTATTTTTTTAATGTTTTTGGTTTTTTCGGTTATTTTTTATACATTTTGTTTTTCTTGGTTACTTTTTGTTTGATTTTATATATATCTTTAAGTGTTTTTGGTCACAAACCTCTCAGGGAACGAAGGGACGGCCAACCCCTCCACCCCTCCTGGAACATGAATTTTGGTCTTAACTAGGTTAAAAAGCTATTCACGATAATCCGGAAGGCTTTCGGGTTCCGAACTTCCCTTCCGCCCCGGCGGTTAGGGCCTATTAAGGGCGTTATTATGAGCATCTGCTCGGCGCGGAGTGCTCGTTAACAGTTCTGCCGGTCATGGTGTTAAAAAAATAACCACCAGGAGCGCCATAAAAACATCTATGTAACATTCGCCCGGAAGTACATATCGACGGAAAATAAAGCTAAGCTATAAAACGACTGGCCAACGTCTAAACAGAGCTTTACATGCTTTCCACCGTCTCTACCAAAGCCAATTCTTTTGGTGGTCTTTCTAACATCGGGTCGACAAAAACGTTACTGTTCTCCGGCTTCGACCAGAACGTTAAAATTAACTTACTTACATGCAAAATAGTGAGCTCATGGCTGGGTCTCAGTACCCCCAGACCACGAGGTCACTCCTAAAAACAGGGCCACTACTAATTATTATATTACTATTGTTTTTGTTCAGCAGATAAAAATCATCATCTCCATCGAAGATGGATCAACCCTTTCCCCCAACTCCTAGCTTCTCATCGTCAAAAAATGAACTCAGATGTTAAATAAATTCAATTCAAGACATAACCTGGAAGCTAAAAGTTTATATAAAACAGTTTCAGTTCAAATCCCGAGACCCCTCCGGATTCCTGAATCCGGGGAAATAACAATCTTATCTTCCTTCCAGAAGGCTGTTTTTCTACCCTTCACCGTTGTTGTGAACGGCCTTGCAACGATTGTAGCGACACAATCGTTGCAACTCGGAACGGTCTCTGCTAACTCTGCTAGTCGTAGTTGTTTTTCTATCGCAATTCTCGTAGTTATCACTATCGCAACTATTGTTGTGGTGATTTTCTTCTGCTTTTCTTCCAAAATGGCGGTTTTTGCCGTTTCTCAGTTCGAATTTTTAAAATTTCAAAATACCAGAATATCTTGACCTTCACCGTTTGGCTAATCGTCCCAATAACGTCACTAATCTCTCAAAACTGTCAATTCGGAAGGTTAGCTGCTAACTATTCGAAATCGCCGAATCTGAATTTTCGTTTATCCTGGTCGAATGTCACAAATCCCAGACTTAGCCATGTTTTAAATAACTCGAGGCCTATTTCTATTTTTTTCTTATGGAAGAGCTGCTTTTTCTAGCTAGTGTTTGTGGAGTGAAGCTTCACCTCTGTGTTTAAAACTTAATTGTCGGTCGGTCCAAAACGGATGACCGGAAACGGTTTTAAATAAGGACCCTTTTGTGCAGTGAGGAGGAGCTCCCATTTTTTCTCAAACTTTTTTTATTCTCTGAGAGTGATGGTTTCGGTCGTGTTTCTTATTTATGTTTTTATAAATGTAATCTTTTGTAGAGTTTATGGAAAGCCCTGTGGATTACAGGCCAAGAAACATGTCAACTTCAACGGTTCGAAACTTTGACAGTACCTCTAAGTCTTTTGGCACGGCTTTGTTGCTAGCAGAGGATAATCCAGATACTTTTGATTCAGAAAGTAACTGGTCTTTCGAATCCGCTAAATGTCACGAAAGTAGTACTCCTTCTAAGTTAAAACTACTTTCGAAGTACTATCAGATTGTCAAGAAACAATTTTTACCATATCAAAGCCAAACATTGGGCTTGTTCGTTATGGACACAGCTAAAGTTCCCAAATTAAATGGGCGTATCAAAAAAGATGTCCACGTCTCCCACATGCGTGAAAATATTTATTGTGCTCAAGCTCTATGGGCACTTGGGCGCGCGTACAGACTTGTCGATAATGATGGAGGCCGAACTCACGAGTTAGATAATACTGCCGTGAAATGTCTACGAGGAGTTTTGTTTTGCTGGATGAGACAACACGAAAAAGTTGAACAGTTCAAAGCCAGCCCATGTGCTGACAATTCACTCAATTTGACTTTCGATTCGCTGACTGGTGAAGCAAAGGAAGTCTCAGAGTATGCAAAGTACCCACATTTACAATTAGAAGTTCAATCGCTCTTTATTCTAACCATCGTTCAAGTAACAAGCTCCGGACTGCAAGTCATTTGGACCACAGATGAAGTCAACTTTGTTCAAAATTTAGTCTATTACATCGAAAGGAGTTATAGGGTATCAGATTTCGGAATGTGGGAGCGAGGGACCAAATACAACATTGGAGAGCCGGAACTTCACGCGAGCTCATTAGCAATGGCAAAAGCAGCTCTAGAATCAGTTAATGGATTCAATTTGTTCGGGGACAAGGGAACGTCAGCGCACATTATATACGTCGATTTAGATGCCCACAACAGAAACTTGACTACATTAGAGACGTTGTTACCCCGCGAATCTAGCTCAAAGAATGCCGATTTTTCGCTTCTCTTCGGACTGGGCTACCCTGCTTTTGCCCTCAATACTCAAAAATTGCGGGATGCTACGAAGGCTAAAATATTGAAGAAACTCAACGGCAGTTATGGATTGAAACGCTTTCTGAGAGATGGATATGGCTGTCTCAATGAAGATACATCTAGGCGGTACTATCATCAATCCGAAATCCAAAAGTTCGATGGTGTAGAATGTCAATGGCCGCTTGGTTTTGTTTTGTTGTATATAAATGCCGTCTTTGCCGGAGACACCCAGGAGGCTGAGAAGTACTCAGAAATGATTGAACAGCTAACTGTTATGGACAATGATCACGATGACGTACTACCAATGTATTACTACGTAAGAGATGAGGATGATTTCGACCTGGAACGCAAAAATCCGAACCAGGTTCCGAGAGAGCATAGTGGCGAAGGCAGGGATGGAAAAATATGGCTCCTTGGACAATCTCTTTTCTTTATATCGAGACTTCTTGCTGAAGGGCTCATTCATCCTTCCCAATTGGACCCTCTAGGAAGGCATCACACCCGAGGATCAAAATCTAAAAACAGTAGATCCGAATATGTTCCATTGGTACACCCGTCAAGAAGATACTCCGAGTTTCAAGTCACCAGGCCAAAAGAGCTCTGCGTTCAAGTGTGCATCATTTCCCAGTCTGTCAGACTACAGTCGTTACTTGCCACATACGGGATCCCATCGCAAACACCTAACCAAATTGAACCGGTAGAAATCTGCTCTCCGAGTGAACTAGTTCGAGCCTACAGTTTCCTTGCAACGAATGAAGCCCTGGGTCTATCAGGAAGACCCGAGCGCCCAATGGGAGGCTTGAGCACCAGCAAAGTATACAAGATCAAAGGAAAGACTGTTGTATCGTACCCTCTAGTTTTCCAGCAGTCTAACTTCTACATGGCACTGGACGCCACAATGCTAGTCGAAGATATTCGAGAACTCATTCGATTCGTATGGAGTTCGTGGTTTGTAGCGGGAAGACCACTGATCGCCTGTATTCTGCGAGAAGATTTGTTCAACAACGATCGAAGTGCTGTAGGTGAAGTTATACAACTGTTGAATACTTTCAAACGAGGCCATTGCGCTGGTGTTCCGGTGAAGTTAGGTCGTATGCAAACCTTCTTATCTGCAAGCTGCTGGGAAAGTTTAGACTTCTTGGCATACACCTCAAGCGAATTCAAATTCAAGCCCGCAGATTTCTCAGTTGTAAATTACGAACGGGAGTTGTTCACTGATAATAATATGAATGCCACAGCCCACGAAGAGTATGATACCTCAAAACGTAGGCGGTCAAGCGTCCGAGAGCTCCCGACGGATATCGACTATTATCAAAGCGGAGCTGTTCTAGATCTTTTGTACGCGTCAAGTGACAGTATGCAGCTCCAGTCTAAACTTTTGTGCAAGTTACTGCAAAAGGAAGGACCCGATTACATCACAAGCAAAGGCACAATTAAAGAGTGTCTGGATTTGATGGTACATATTGCAGCGTCACAAAATAGGTGGGGCGTCGTCCGACAATGCAGTGGTATGCTACGCAGTACTGTTGACTCATTGGCGCCTGCACTTACCTACATTCTAGTGTTCGGAAAGTTCGTTACAATCGGAGTTTTCGGACACCGAGAGGAGTTGATAGAGAAGACCCTTTCGCCAGATCAGCTACATAGAATCATTTTTGACTGCTGCTTGGAAATTGACCCTAGAGAAGCTGTGTTACAGCAAGAAGTATTGATAAATGTCAGTAAAATGATAATGAACTCTCCTGATCTTTTCAATGGAATGTTGAAGATCAGAATAGGATGGATCATTCAATTGATGAAGGGCGAATATCTGAAGGGAGACGAGGGCCTAACGACCAATGATTTCTACGAAATGTCGCCTAGGAAAATGAAAGAAATGCTGAAAACCATAATGGCTATAGATGTTTCGCAGCGAGGTATTGCGGAACAAAGAAGAATTGACGGTTGTCTTAACCGGAACCCGTTCAAATTCTACGACAAAGTTTGGGCAATTTTGGAGAGGTGCCCGGAGGGTATTCAGCTGTCGAAATTCAAGATTCCTCAGGAGCCGACTGTAAGTGCAATGACAGATTACGACTTGAAGTTCGCGATGCTGGTCGAGGACATGTTGTCGGTATGTTGTCATCTTCAATTCAATTCAACCTTATCGGTCGTTGTGACCATGTGGTTCTCGTTGTAGTTTTAATTATTTTGATCGTTTCAGAACAACTACACTCAATTTTGTAATCTCTCATTCAAATTTAGTTTATCTTGAGACGGATCTTTAATGTGAAGACACTGATATCAATATCATGTGTGAAAGAAAATTTTTTCTAAAATAATGTTAAGGTAATATTTGTCGCGATTGTTCCGGAAACGTAGAAAGGTTTTAACATCATTATTCTATTGAATGTCGGCCTTATTCTCCTTGTCGAATGTTTTGTCATTTCAGGGTGTGCGAAACCCGCTGTACAGACAACTCCTCATAGAGCTACTCATGATCACCCAGACAATCTTCGAACGCAATCCGGAGTTCAAATGTATGCAGGTTCTGGATCTGGACAAAATGATGGCCTCAGCTGTGGATACATTCGCACGTGAGCACGCAGAACAAGAAGGCTATCCTGAGAGCTACTCGATGAAAAACGAGAAATTAATGACGAGATGGTTTGAGATTTTCTACAACTTGGCTCCTCAAGTCAGAAATGGAACTGTGAAGTATATGGTTGGTGCTATAATGCATGTTGTGCTAAATGCGGAACTGAATGTACCCAGTCGAGATAGTCAGGATGTGCCTTGTCATATCCAATGATTATGGTACCGTTCTCGGGGGTTCTTTTCCAGTCTTTCTTTGATGTGATGGTAATTCTGAAAAACTATTCCCTGTTTAAAATGTTTTTTTTTTCCTGTTCACACAAACAGATGAGTGTAAACAAGCGGCACATTTTTTTTATAAGCAAATTGTCGTATTTGTGATGTTATGAAGGGTATGGAAAACTGGAGAAGAGTCCCATTGTCGCGTAACGGCGACGAAAATTCTCGATAGTCTAGTGACAAAACTAATTTTCTATTTCGTATTATAATTCAGTGAATTGTATTTTCATGCATTAATCCATTAATGTGTTAGATGCGTTTATTATTATTAGTTTTTAAGTATTAATCTTTCGTACAATTGACCCAGTTCAAAGCTAGTTTTTAGTTTGTTTTGAAAAATCAGGTGATGCAAATAATTATCCAATGGAGTCGAGTGAAATTTCCTTAATAGGCCTCTTCGTATCGAATTGATGTTTATGCTGAGTTTGTGGAGAACGGGCAGTTTCTTTTTTGAACCAAATTTAGAAAATTTAGATGAAATTGTGCGCAACTTCCATAAATCTCAAGTTTTAATTTTGCTCTAGAAGACAGAAAAGCGAAAATATTCAAAATTATTTCTCGCATAAACTTTTTTCATTGCAGATCGAGTGAATTCTAAAACGACTTCATTATTGCACTTGCGAAAGCAAGTGTCTTGTAGTCGGGAGGTAGACGTTTCTTTTCCCGTAAACAACTTTCTTACATCTGTAGTTGAAATTGCCTAAGCAACTTCGAGACTTCTTACCACTTGGCCTAAGGTAACGCTGTAGTCTCTGTAACCTGAAGTAATGGGTTTGAGTCCCGGCCGCACATTGTTTTATTTCAGTTTGTATGAATTTTTGAATAAATTTTCCGGGAAAAGTTGAATGGACAGACTTCTTTTTTGTCTGCTTGTTTTTCGGCTTAGTTTGCCACATTGTAGAGTTTTATTGTTTAGTCAACAATTTTTTTATTCAATCAGAAAGGTCTTTCCGTCCAAATAGTTTTTCAGTAGTCGATATAGGGTACGATGAAAAGGCCCCAGCTAGCATAAATGTTCCTTAGTTCATTTGAAAACTGGAACAAGAAATCTTATGGAAGAAAAATTGTTTTCATAATGAGGAAGAACGATTGAAATTTGATAGTTCAAGAGAAAGTTTATAATCAGAGAGAATGTTCAAAAGTCTAAAAACAATCAAACTATCTTCCAGAACAGAGTAATATTGCTTAGAAGGTACGGGTGCGGCAAAACGCTGACTCAGAAAAAAATCTATGACAGATAAATCTTAACTTTTAATTAATAATTTCACGGAAGTTCAAGATATATGCGTCGTTTTACATAATATTACAACATCTTATTTAAGAGTAATGAACGTAGTGAGTACTCTTATATGGGCGTTGCTGATTTTTTTTAGGGAAAAAGTCTTAAAATTTGTTCACGCTCAATTTTGACTTTTCGCGTTTTGACTTGTGATTTTTTTCTAAGTTCAGTGAATTTCCATTGTTAAAAGGAAGACAAACTCCACCACTATCGAACAGCAAAATTGTAAGGTCTTAAAAAACGTGATGGACCTCTAATTTCGAAATTAAGTCATCAGATTTCCAGGCAAAATTTACCTATTGATCCAGTTTTCTCAAATTGGGTTAGTTTAAGCAAAAAAGGTCTATCATAAATTGTTCTACAAATTCAAAGAGCTTTAAGGCCATCTATTTTTTTCTTCGATATTCAAAGGATATTCAAAGTTGAATGTTTTTGAAAAAACGAGTCAGTTTTTTTTTCAGTTTCCTGGCGTTCATTACTCTTTTCCAACTGTCAGTTGACTATGTTGATATTTTTCTGTAATTAATAAATTTATAGCCTTGATAATTGATAGAAAAAACTGTTTGATTTAAAAAAATTAGATACTTTGTCTTAACACAGTTTACAGTTTTGAACCTTGATTGCTCAAAGTTTTTTTTTACATGTTTTACTTTTTCCCATTTTTTTTCGATTTGGTTATATCCCTCTCATTTTCTATTCGCAAGCTTGCAATGCTGTGATTGCATCGTACGCTGTTTCCAAAGTGACCCCTTTTTTCACAGGGACCCCTTTTTTCACAGAGACCCCTTTTAATGAAAGTCTCCAACAGGTGGAAATATCCGTAACAAAAACCTTTAAAATTAAGCGCACTGGGCTTTCTCTGTAATGACACGACTGTATTCTTAGTTTGTGATTTTATGAACACGTATGGCTAGCAATATACCCAAAAATATATTTATACGGATGTTTTTTGTTGATCCGACGACAATTCATACGCTTTTCTGTACGATATCCGGCATATTATACGCATTGATGAATTTTCAGTTGCTGTTCAGTTACATTATGGAAAAAATTATGAAATATTTTTATTTCACTTCTCGAGCGTGTTTTACGGTGCCTCCACTTTTTTCAACCTAATTGCACCTTTTAATGCAAATTTTTTTCGAAGTATATCGAGAGAATTTTTTCGAGAAAAGTTTTTTGTCTACCTAACAAGAACGGACGCTTAAATGGAAAAGGATATTAAGAGTCGATGAACGTAGTTCGGACTCTTATATGGATCGTGATGATTTTTTGTTATTTTTTAGGAAAAGTCTTATTTTTTGGTCAGGCTCAAAGTTACTTAATCGCGGTTTGATTTTTGTACGTTTCGTTCATTTCCTTTTGAAAGGAAGGCAAATTCCACCATCGAACAGCGAAAGTGTAAAAGTCTTGAAAAACATTATCTACTTCTAATTGCGAAAGTGGAGCTTTAAAAAGATCGCTGAATCATTTTCTAAGCCTACTTTAACAGCATTTTAAGGAAGAGGTACCAATTTGGCTCGTTTCGTCTGGAGGTAAATTCCATGCATGAGATGACAAAAGCATGGTTTCGATTGTGGCGAGAAGCTGATAACCACGAAATTGTTTGTCTGCTTTATTGTCGACTTGTCTTCAAATTATGCAATTTTCGTCTGGTTGAGGCAAGATTTGCGGTAAATGGAAGGCGTTTTGATTCGTTCCTATCATGTGTAAATTTGAGGTCACTTTTATTTCTTTTCCTTTTGTACGTCGTTTTTCTTATTTACCTAAAGTTTAATTGGCTTAAATGGTTTCGACAATTGTGATACTGATTCTCAATTATATTGCGTCATTTTAAGCTTTTAGAGGAGAGGGATTCTTCAAGTTGCAGAATTTAATTCGAATGTTTTGCTCAAAATGAACATCATTCTAGAAAAACGTTTGAATGTTTTGTAGATAGTAGTTTTTTTTCTGATTTAGTGGCATCTGCCTAATTTTCTAAGTCTGAGTTGTATCGTGGGTGGTGCGAAGCTCTGCCTTGCCTCTGTGACTAAAATCATACTAATTAGCGAAACTTTGTTTCAATCTTGGAAACGCTTTAAAAATGGGGGCAGCTTTCTAAAAACATATGATTCCCTCATCTGCATCAGTAGCGTGCCGAGAGGAGCATGTGACTGCCCTGATACAGGCTTCTCAATTCTGGTTGCCCATTTGGCACTATTTTATTGCAGATGTTTCTGGCTCACCAACCCTAATATTTGTCGAAGGCAACTACGGCACCAATAGTTGCCAATTTTGACTGTGGAGTGCGCGCAGACACTACAAATGTTTAGTCAAAACTTTCTAAAAATGCTCTTAAGCTGCATGTATTCAAAAAAATCGCCTGCGGCTGATTCTGTTGTTTCAGCAGAAACTTTGCTTCATTTAATCTTATTGAAATGAGATAATTGTGCGCAGTGAAATTGAAATGATAATTTTAAACTCAAATACGACCCACACAATGGATAAATGTCGATTATATACAAAATGCACAGATTAAAGTAAGAATACCATCGGTTTATATTTAACCATATGCGAGCGATAATCGATTCTTATACAGATAGAATGGATTCTTTTCATGAAAAATAAATGAGTTTAAGTGCCTAAAGGAATTGATTTTTTTATTCTATAAAATCTGGATATAATCTACAGATAATTTTTTATATAATCTCTATATTCTTGTTTTATAATCCATACAAGATCGGTTTTTTCTGAGAAGTTATAGTAGTCGTAGAAAGGTCAGTATTTTTAAAGGTTATACAATTGTTGTGAACTCTTTATATTTTTTCTGTATGCAATCGATTTTAATCCGTTTTTGTTATTGTGGGAATAGTTTAAATGAAAAAAAATAATAATAATTTGAAGCAACAATTTTAATTAAACTATTTAGTTTATACAGATGAGACTGAAACTTTCTACGAAACGCAGCTACTGAAAAATAAGATAGAGAGAAGATTTTTTGACAAAATGTTAAGCGATTTGTCAAGTTAAAATACAATTTTTCTGTTAAATGACGTTAAATTTATTTTAATAATCTTTCTTTTTAATCTATTCAAATAGAAAGCACTAGGGCGAACTAAAAATAAAAAAAGGTTGACAAAAAACCGAAAAATTGAAACCATACATCTCATCTCAATTAAAATGTTCTCCTATTATAAAGAAAATGGTTTTTTTTTTGTGCCACTGTTACATTTCAACAGTCGAATCTTTGAACACCTCATTCCATTGAGCTTAATAGAACTGGATGGCTCAAAAAAGCTGTTGGACTATTTTTGTGTAGTGTATAAAATTATTCTTCTGTTGAGCTAAAAAGTAAAGAGGCTTTCCAGCTTGAAAGACGCGGAGACAAAGACGATTTGATGGTTTGGACTGCTTGAATAGATTGTGGTGCAATTGCAAAAATGACTGTACGTTTTTGAGATTTTATTGCTACTGATTTATCTGCGCTGATGCGGTGCATTATTTTATCGAATAATTGAAATATTCATATTTTTATCCCACAGAAGTATTTCAACAAGGTTTAGTGTATACACTTAAGCTAGATCCAAGAAAACTTACAGCTGGTCTGACAATTGATGCGTTTCGTGCGCTCTCATAAAACGAGGACTTGGTTCGACAATAAACCGCAATCACTGCATCTTATCGGAGCCCCAAAAAACTGAGTATACATCTGCAGGTTGAGTGTCACCTGCATTTTTCTACCAATTTATAATAACCAGTTGTACTAAACAGCGAATACCATCCGTTTATTTATACACACTGCTGACAAGTGGCTACTGAATTGCTAGTTAATAACTGCCCTGCCTTGAATTCTGTTAGTCCTATCTATTTTGGTCAAAAATTGATTCATTTCAACTCTTAATCAAAACACAGCTAATTTTAAACTAGCAAGAATGTTAGATCCGGCTTTCAAAGGGGTTGCGACGAAGGTGGGCATGACTATATGGAGAATTGAGGTAAGTGATTCAGATCCAAAAATTGCCTCCGCTGCAGTTCCTTAAATTTGTTTAATTTTATAATTTTTAAATTTAATTTGAAATGACATTTTCAATTAAACGGCTATTAGATTAAGTAAACAGTGCCGCAACTAGAGGAGTTTCAACGTTCTGGCAGTGGCTTGAGCTATGTTCTGTAATCTGGAACTCTTCTGACAAAATCTGCAATAAATTGATTTTGTTGTATTATGAAACATTAACTGTTCTCATCTACTCACGCAGTATATAGTAGAGCTCCTGCTTGCCGCTCGAATGGTCAGAGTATCAAGTCCCGAACCGTCTTAAATGTAGAATTTTTGCATGGAAGAACTCAAAATTAGGAATATCGAATATCATTTGAATGCCCATGTCGACATGGTTAGCATATCACGGACTTTTGAAAAAATCGTTTTGTACAATTTCAGAGAACGCTATAACAATTCGTTAACCCATGTTTTTTTTCAAGTAAAATTTTCCAACATAATTTCTCATAACTTTTTTGGCTGCTTTTTTTTGTCCATTCACTATTTTGTAGCGCAATATGTTTGAAATTGGTTTCTATAATTTTTATTTTTTTTGAGACGTTTTGGCAAATTTTTTCATTTTTCGTTGATGTTTTAATTTTTCCCTTCATTGTATTTTTTTTCAAAAACTGGCACCAATGAAAGACCGGCTATTTATTGTATGTCTGCATACTATAGTCTTCTTTAGCCTTACTTCACCTCGAAAGACTTTTGAAATTTTGAATGCGGTGAATGTTAGACTAAATTTCTTACCCAGCCAAATCTGATATTAAGGTTTCAATGGCAAGAACAGTTAGTGAACATCTCTTCTGCATAAACCAGTTTGTCCTAATTTTAAAAGAGTAAAGTTCTGGCCTCAAAAAAGGCCATTTTTGACAATTTGGTTTGAAATTGATTTTTTTAAAAATTTTTTCTATGTTTCTGAAAAATTACCCTTTCATAACTTATGAAAGGCTCAATTAAAACAGCAGGTTGTGAGAATTTTCCCGGAGTAAGCGGCTACGCTCCAATTTTTATTTTAAAAATTATTTGAGTTTTTGATCATTTTTGGAAACTTTGTTACTTTCATCGAAAACTAGCCTGTATAATCTGATATCAAAAGTTAAATCGAAATAAAGGGTTTTGACAATCATCAATGCATTAGAGACCTTACCTTTTTTCCAGGAAGATGTTTAATTGTCTAGGGAAAAGTCAAAATTTTGAAACTTGGACCGTTTTTCGGAAATTTTTGACTTCTCAAAAAATACCCATCCAATTTCAATATTTATGGTTCAATTGGAAAAACAGATTTCGGAATTCTTTGGTGGATGAGCTGGTACGCAGCTTTCTGTTTTTGAATCGCAAGTGGTGCGAAGCTCTGCTTTGCGTCTGTCATAATTTTCATCGGAATGAATTTTTTCGATGACGAAAATTGCTTTTTTTATCTCGAAGAAATCTAACAAGCGGTTATCTGATTTCTTGCCACGTTCCATTTAGCTGTGTAAATTCTAGTTTCACTCATGCAGGGTCTAAAATGGGATAATTCAATATTGTGATTGAGTGTCAATGAACGAAGTGAAGTATTTTTGGGTGACATGAACTTTACGGAAAGCAAATTAGGCGTCACTGATAATCTGGAATTTAGATGTTATATGTTTTGTAAAATTAGTATTTTGGACGAAAAGTTGCTCAAAATAAATGTTCACAAATACACAATTATTATATAATTCCATTGCGTATCAAAATTTTCATTATAAAAGATCTATAAAACATTATGCGAAATATCTGAATCAGCTTTGAAATGCTTCAGCTACTGTCACATAGTGCTTCACGCCTATGTTAGTTACTCATTATTAATTACTATAATTGGTGCGAATTAGACTTAAATATCAATGCCATTATATGTCAATGACAAAGTGTTAAACTCAAACTTACTTAATGCAAACAATCAATTAGAAGGTAATTGAATCATTAATTGAGAGAGGGAGCCATAACAATAAAGCAGCGAAAAGATAGTAATTAAAAGATTAATCCTCACTCTTTTAAATCAAACAGCTTAGACTCAAGAGAAAGGGGTAGACATCACGAAGCACATCCCTGAGTCGAAGATATTGAGCCTAGACCGCGCATCCCTTTATTACTCTCAAGCACAATTCCTCATTTCCAATCATTAATTATCATAGCAAGACACGCTATATAACATGGTGACTATGAGTGGGATGATGTTACCAACCTTTCAAGACAAGCTGAAGCTGATTACAAAGTGAGAGCGAAAACAAGACGACATCCAAAACAAGACGACTTCAATACGCCACAAGCTAAAACAAGATCACGGCAGTAACTGGCTCAAACAGCAGAAAAGCGGGGCAAAAACAGAAACTGACTACAGCCAGTGAGAGACGACAGCAAGGGGCAAAAGGAAACTTCAACTGTTTTGTGTTGATGACAACTACTATACTTCTCCAGGAAAGTGATACAAGTACAAAAACAGTTAGTTAAAACTTAAACTTAAAACTCTCGGTGCTTCAATTAAAATTGATGAGTGCTCATTTGAAACCATTCATATGAAATCATCCATGAGAACCGCCTGAAAACCTATCCAGTGTTTAAAGTCTAACCAAATTTCAAAAAAAAAATGGTGGAATAATATTAAAGCCGCAAGAAAAGTTAATTTAAAAAGTAGAGAGTTCAAAATATAGCAACAAGAGTTAATTAACTCCTTTTCGTAACTACTCATGGTACGAGTTATCTATATATTTTCTCAGAGACGATAATTACGTCCTTAAAAATCAAGTACCCACTAGGCATTAATTATTTCCACTATAAAATAGCGACTGATTCATCTGATATCATTGTTAATCAGACTTGACAATCATATAACTGTGATAAGATGGCGCACGCTCAAATCTCAGTCGAACCATTTGGTGGAAGCGATAACGAAGATTTCGCCCAATTCGAACAGCTCTTCCAAGGATACGTTGGAGTTGCGGGAATCGCAAATGCTCAGCAAGCGAATTTTCTACAATTGCACCTGCGAGATAGCGCTCTGCGATTCTACCAGACACTGTCAGCACTAACAAGAATCGACGTACCTCTTAGTCTAGCGGCACTACGCGACCATTTTTGCAACCCTCAATTGCAAGAGGTCCACGTTCTAACACTTGAACAATCAAAGTTTGATATCAAGCGAGACTCACCAGAGAATTTCCTGGTAAACCTCACAAAAAAGGCACAACGAGCCTACCCGACACCGGATCTACCTGTCGTTGCCCCACTCGATGCGGCACTAGAAGGCGCGGCAGCCGATGCAGATGCAGCGCGTTTCCATGGAGAGACGGCGCAACGCCAAGAACGACTTGACGCAGAAAATGATCATAGGAACAACCAGATTAAACGTCTTTTTATAAAAGGCATGCCCAACTGGCTCCGTTCGAAGTTGATGGAACAACCAGCTGCGACAACAGTACAAAAATTTTGCAACCTGGCACGCAAACAAATGACAATTAGAGACGTTTGTCGTAATGAGGATTACCCAGAAGATAGTTTCAATGAAATTGGAGATACAGTTTCTCACAACCTAATCAGTGCGTTGTCAAAACTAACAACAGCCCGGGAACAAATCGAGAAACAACTCAACGAAGTCCGTAGTGAGCTATCGGATCAGAGAAAAATGATCCAGTCACGACCACAAGGTGACAACGGAAAAACCCAGCAGAGCTCTCAACTGAATAGCCAAAACACTGGTGGGAATAATAATCAAACCCAACAACAACAAAATCACGGAATTAATGCACAAAGCCAAGGGACTGGACAAGGCCCAAACCAGGACAATACATCTGGCCCTAATCAATGGAATGGATATCAACGGAATGGACAACAGAGATACAATCAAAGAAGGGGTAGATTTGGTAAAGAAAAAAAGAACGGACAGCAGAGAAATGATGGGGGATACGGAAACCAAGGTTTCCCTGGTTTCCAAAATATGCAGTACCTCCCACAAATGTTCCAGTTTCACCCACAGATATCTGGAATTCAACCGAACCCACAGTTCCAACAAAGCCAGAACTATCCTCATACACAACAGAATGTCCAATTCTCTCCGAACCAGATGTACCCTCAACAACACCAACAGCAACAAGCGACAGCCACGCAGCCACAACAGAACAACCCGTTTGCCCAACAAGCCTCACAACCAATGATGCAGCAGATGCACACCCAAAATCCTAGTACATCAGCAGTACGCACTGGATCAAAGTTCTGTGACCACTGCGGGAAGTTTGGCCATACTATCAGCCAATGTTGGCACAAACCCGAGCCACAGGGACAGCAGCAACAGAATTTCCCGTTCCAAATGGAACCAAAAAACTAATTCAGCCACAAAGTCAGTCAGTCAATTCATCTAAATCACAAAAATCACGTAAATCGCGAAAATCACGCAAATCAAATATTCAAGAGGTACAAGACGATGAAATTATTGATCTGTACGCAGTCATCCCAACCGAAGGAACAGTGCTAACTTATATGAAAATCAGATTAGCGCCAAGCCTTCAAAGAAGAGTACTGATTGACACAGGAGCATGTGCAAACGTAATTTCGAAACAAACATTCGATGAAATTAAAAACGAAAAAACACTATTCGCACCCTATAAAACGGCAAAATCAAACCTCAAGCAAGTGCGAATGGCAGGAGGCCAACTGGTGTCAATTGAAACTGAAGTAACCATTGAATTTCATATGGCAGATATGAACTTTACGGAAACGTTCCCAGTGCTGAATTCAGCGAATTCAACGATCCTGGGAAACCCTTTCTTTAAAAAACACCATATACATGTCTGCTCAAAATACAATCTACTTCTTTTTCCAGATTTGACACTCCAAATCAACGAAATTAAACCCGCCAATGCACCTAGACGCACCAACCGAGAGAAAAAATTTCCTCTTGTTCTCACCACGAAACAAATAATTGCACCTCATCAAACA